ATTTTGACTTTTTTTAAAACTTTGAGCGAAGGTATCCCCACAACCACTTGACCAAAATCGCTGAATTTTTTTTTATTTGAATTCTATGGATTTATAAAATTCAAATAAAAAATTTTTTAGCAAGTTTGGTCAAGTGGTTGTGGAGATATCTTCATTCAAAGTTTTTTAAAAAATTGAGCACAGCTTCTACTTTGATAGACGTTTTGACTTTACTTAAATCTTTGAGCAAAGGTATCCCCACAACCACTTGACATACATAATATAAATTATAAATTTATATTGAATAAACTTTTGAATCTAATAAATTCATCCATATTTACTAATTGGTATAGATCTTTTTATCTGAGATAAATTTTTGGATCAATTTTTATTTTCCTTTTGCAGTTAACTTTAAAAAGCTATACAAGTATTTATCAACGAACAATATAGATTATTCTTTTTGTACATATGGGGCTGGAATTTCTTTTTTTTTTTGAAATAAAAATTATTATATAAACTTTAAGCATATTAGATTTTTAATTAGTAATAAACAAGCATGTACATATGTATGTATGCAAATGCTTTTGGTAATTTTAAATCTACTGAAATGCCTGTCATCATGCATTACAATTTGGGATTGGCCGAGACATACATATCTCGATCGGTTGCAACATGCATATATCTCAGCCGCTCGTGATGTATGCTATAGAAAATTAACTTTTATATACAAATTTAATGGTATAAAATAATATTTTATTAAAAGAATGGTTCATAAATCAAAAATATATAAATAAAGGATTTTGTTTTATCTGGCACTTAAATCATACAACACATTTTATTAAAAACAAAATTTACTCTCAATTTGATACAAAACTAAATAAACTGAACAAAATGTCTATCTCAAATACTAAGTACACTTCATCCACCTCAAATATTGAGTCCTACAATGCCAATACAAGTACTGGAGGGTGTAATCGTTGCTATAAAACCAAACCTATTGCTAAATTTACAAGACAGTGTGGAAATGAAATTAAAGTATTTGCCACGTGCAATATTTGTTCTAATCGAGACAAAAAAAGTAAAAAAGACAAGCAGCGTAGAGAAGAATCACCTAAGAATGAAAACATTCACACTTTTCTTTTAATTGAAGAAACATTAGTAGATGAAGATAATAATGATAGTAGTGAAGATGAACTTAACCCTGAACTTAGCCTTAATATATCTAATCTTGAAGAGTTTATAGCCAGCAAGTTTAAGGATCATGAAGAAAATGACAATCCTGTTGAATTCTTCACCAAAGTTGAAATTGAAAAAGAATTGGCTAATAACAGAATTTTGTCTCTTGAATTTAATAATGAAAAAACTATAACAAATCTATTAATTAGCACTTTGTTGTAGCATTTTATTTATCTGCAATTGTATCAATATCAATAAAAATGTACTTGGAACATTCAAAAGTTCGTGTCAATTAATTATTTTTTAAAGTAAAAATCGCGGAAATTGTATTTTAAAATTACAAGCTTGTAAATGTAGGTCTCGGCAAATTTTATTCTCTTGTGAAAGTTCATAAATAAAATACTTTCGCTTAAAAAAATATTTTGAATATATATTTTTTTTGAAGAAAAACAATGTTTTTTGATTTTGTGATGGTGCTAAAGGTGGCATGATCAAGTTTGTCCAAGATTTCATGCATCCAATCACAACTGTGGGGAGAAATTAGTCCCAGTCCTTAACCGGGTACAACGGGTAAAATTTTATACCTGAGTATACCCGTCGATTACTCGGTTAACCTGCGGGTATACTTGCCGGTTAACCGGGTAACGTTTTTTTGACCGAGTACAATCACTAAATAAAAGATTTTGGCAAAATTAACAAAGTAAAAAAAACATAGTTAAATTGTTTTTTACCAAATAATTCATTTTTATCTTTTAAGTAAACAGTAAACTTGTTCAATATAAAATTTTATATGTAATTGTAACTTCAAAATTAGAAAAATATATAATTCTTATGAAATTTTAAAAAAGTATTCTAAATAACCTTAATCTACTATTTTCGATATACTTAACCTTAAAATTTGATATTAAGTTAATATGTAAATTAAGAATAACGTGGAGTTTAAAAAATTGTTGACATAATCTCCGTGCACGTACGTACCTGGTCTACCGCTACGAAATCAGTTTACCACGTGATAAAACCAAAACATAGTGCCATTAAAAGGTTATCTCGGCATCACTAGTCTGGATAATTGGCCCTTGCAAGACCGTAACATCCCTAATTTAGGTTCTTTAATTTTCTACTTCGGAACTTTTCGGAATTTCAGGAAACTATGATATGTGGATTCTTTTATAATATTAGACATTTATTCAATAAAATAATGTCTTTTAAGTACATGACTATTTTTACCAATGCTGGTTTACTATACTAGATTCGATTAAAAGCTTTTTAATAAAATAACCTCTGTCAAAAATTTAAAATTTCTTGTCAGGTCTAATAATCGTACCCCTACTGGTATTTCTGGGTCCTATTGTAACCACATGATCTAATATTTACAGATAAGTTCATTTCATGAACTGTTTATTTTATCGACAATTCATTTAATAGACAATTTACTTTGACAAAGTAATTCTGATCGTTGTCATTAAATTAGTCTATAACTAATGTTAGGTTTGATCAATTTAAGAAATTTTTCTGTGAAATGAACTGTAGAGAAAAAAATAAGAATTGAGATGTTGGTAAAATAAAACATCTATTGTCTGAGAATTGATTGGCTGTAAAATAAACTTGATCTGAATTTAATTGTTGTTTAAATAAGATTCTATGAAGTGATTGTTGTTGAACGATACAGATCAGTGTCGGGCAATTAGGCTTACTTTGTTCCACTGAACTAGAGATTGTACCCGTCAAGAAAATCTCTACCCGGGTACCCGGTTATACGGGTAATTTATTATAGCCATATAATAAAAATGTCACCCAGGTACATTCTCTACACTGAACATAGGACTTACAGATTCCAATTGGTCCAATTCAAATTACTGGACCTATAAGGATGACTGACATTGATACAGATCCATTGGTAATCAAACCTATAATTTAATAAACTTAAAGTAGACTATACAATTTACTGTCTCACAACATTTCATCTCATATTCCTCATATTCGGTAGATATAAAAATCGTTAATATTTGAAATAATATATATATATCGCTTAATAATTCAGGTTTATTAATGAACACTCTCATTTTATCTAATTCGTATTAAGTAGTAAGTTCGTTTTTAAGTGATGTCTTTCTCATTCACATTAATTTAATATCTTAGAACAGTCAAAAAGATTATTGATGTCAAAAAATAAATAAATAATAGGTAATTAATTAAATTAAATTAAAAAAAATAAACGATTAATAATAGAAGTTGAAAAAAATGAAAAAATAAAAAATAAAATAAATAAAAACTCCTGTGTAGCCTAGTGGTGAACTTCCAAGTTTTTAGGTAATAATAATAAAATAATAATAATTATACAGTCAGACCTCGTTATAGTCACTCAATCACAACCTTGTTATAATCACACTATTTTTTTTTGATCTAGCTATTACAAAACATATAAATTTTGACCTTTATATAGTCACAGCTTTTTATAATCACCAAATTTTTGTTTCCCAACCTGGTGATTATATCGAGGCCTGACTATATATAGTTATATAAAATAATATTTTTTTAGTTATTTAGTTAATTATTTTGCAATCGTTCGCAATTCGTGAAAGATTAATTGTCTCTCATTTTGGGATAAACTATTACTATGAAGACCCTATAAGAAATTTTTACCCGAATATTTCCATTATTTTTTGTGAAAACTCCAAGAATCTGCAACATGATCGACAAAATCTAGACAAGCCGAATAATCTCCATTATTTAAGATTATAAGTTCTGTGAATATGCAACATTTACGGAAAAGACACGGAATGTAAAACATAGATCGACTTTTTTTTATATGGGAGAACACATACGGGTATTGCCCTTCTGCTATCGAGCAACCTACGCAGTTGTTTATAGAATCGTGCAACATGCTCTTTCTTCATTCATTTTCATTTTTTTTTTTGTATTATGACTGTCGTTTCGACAGGCTATATATTTTCATTATTTTGTGACTGTCGCCTCAAAAGGCCACATTTAACGTTTTCCAGCATACAATCCTAACGGATCCCACCACTTATTCTTATTTATGACTTCCGTCCCGGCAGGCCACACAAATTATGCGTCGCTCTAACGCTGGTAGGGTGGGAAGAATCGATATAACCAGAACGAAAGTCGGGTTCGCAGAAAAGACAAAGTTAATTTTCACTTACTAAATATACTACGATCCAATTACCTCATAATTAATCAGTTACCCATATACTTACTAAGACTAATCACTCTTTCATCAATGATCGTATTACTAATTACCTGATTACACGTTCTATCAGTCAACCGATCAATAGAACATGTGATCGTAACCGGGTCTGTCACATGTTCGATCGGATCGATGCTTCGATACTTACGTATCGAGCTGCTATTGGATATGTCTCGTTACACGAGCAGTAAAAAATACTCATTGTACGCAGAGCGTTATGATCAGCGCGAATAGATTAGCGAGATAACGCTCAAAAAAAATTTCACTAATCGAACAGATATAATAACAAATTGTAGTCTGCTTATTTTTTTTTTTTTCATTACTAAGCTGATCGGAGTAAAAGATCTGACGTATCCATCTAATGCGCCGAAATTAAGAATTAACTTCTCAAGAAATTCTTTTTTTAAAAAAATTCCTTTAGCTGTTTAAATACTAACGTTTTTGCTCTCCCTATAAAAAAGTCGATCCGTGTTTTACATTCCATGTTTTTTCTGTAAATGTTGCATATTCACGGAACTTATAATCTTAAATTATGGAGATTATTCGGCTTGTCTAGATTTTGTCGATCATGTTGCATTTCACAAAAAATAGGGAAATATTCGGATAAAAATTTCTTATAGGGTTTTTTGAGTTTTCACTTTCAAATTTTTTTAGTAAATAATTTTTTGTTAACGATTAATATATTTTCACCAATTTTACCGAATATTACTATAAAATTTACTGTATCGTGTAAATTTTTATTAGAAATAAATATACCTACTTTTAAGTCATACTGCTATGCGAAAATCCGAAAAAAAATATTTTTTGATTTGTAAGCTTATGTAAACTTACTAATTATTTAGCAACTTAACAGTAACCAGGGTTGGCATTGGATAATGTCCAATTGTCCAATAATTTTATTGGACAATTTTAATAATATGACGACAAAAACTTTATTGCTTTTAATTCCAATAATGACGTTTATAATTTTATTTCATATAAACTTTTTTTACTCCTTAATTTACAATGATAATTTATTAACAAATGTTTCTATTTCAAAGTGTCGACCTTGGCTAATTTTTATAATAGGGTGATTCAGAATTAATGTCCAATTCCGAATTAAATTAGTGACGTAATATTTTGGAATAGGTTATTTACAAACCTAATTTTTTTATATGATAAGATATCATATAAAAATACATCAATTTCGTTTTCTAATTTCGGAATTTAAAAACAGAAATAGGGTTTCTTAAACTCCCACTTATTTTCGAAATAAGTTAATTCTGAATCACCCTAATACGTATGTATGCCTTTATTTTTAAAAATTAAAATAATTATTATTTTTGAAATACAAATCATTTTACAGTTTCTAACATTCTGTTCGATTAATCCTATTTCACTAGGGCAATACCAAATATATATATTTAAAACTATCTTGTATATGTACGTATTTATATAAACATGTTGTAAGTAAAATGGATTTTAGTTAATCCTAGTGTGAATACGTACAGTACGTACGCATACATGTTTTATAAATAATAATAATAATAATTAATTATCAATATACAGTACTTTTTAAATATACTGTAGAGATATTTTGTATTGGCGATATTGGCCCAAATTAAGCTTAGTTTAGGCCAAAGTTAAATTAATTTTTTTATGTCCAATAAAAAAATTTACCATGTCCAATCAGATTATTTGGACAATTGGAGTCCAAATTAGAGATGCTGAGAATACGACTGGGTAAAATCGCACCAAAAATGTTTCTATCATCACGTGATAAATATGTCGAGCTCCAAAAAAGTCATTTAACTTGAACAAACAAAAAGTTTACAGACTAAAAATAATAACGATAAGCAATAAATTAATCGGTTTATCATTTCAAATAAACTCAATAAACGTAATATTTATTACAGTCATAAAGTATTATTATTACGATTTTTCTAGTATTTGGAATATTCTATTGCCTTATAATCCTCCTCCAATTTATGCAATGGCTCGAAATTTTTATTATCTATCCATTTGTTATTATTTAGATTAATCATGTTTTCTTCAATAATTTTTGTTGCGTTATGGATTCAGAATTATAAAACTTTTTGCTCAAATAAATAATGTAATAGTCTTCCGGAAGAGCATTCAAAGTAAAATCTAAGATCTGGTGTAATGCATTTGCCTGATTAGTTTCTATAATTTTATTTCTTTTTTTGTTATCATTAGTGGAAATTTGGGTTACGATGAACAATGTGTATTTTTAGAATATTGTGTTATTTGATTTTGTTTTTAAAAGATAGCAACTATCGTTTTACATTTTGAAGAATCGAAGAAAACAAATCATTTCTGAATCAATTAATACTTAAATATTATTATCATGATCCTAATCATGATGAATTGACAATGCCACATGATTTTCGAAACTTTTTTGGGTGGCGATTTTACTTCGGTCGTTATTTCGCGACAATATGGCACTAAGTCTTGTATATTACTTTCGGATCTTATAAACTTAATCGAATCGGCAGAAAAATAATTAGGCTAATTTTATCAGGTGTCCCGGGAATACGTAATGAAAAAATTTCCGGATTTGGTTTTTATAAGACGGATACGGTCGTACGGATAGAATGGAGATCTAGTTCCAATCCCCATCAAATTTAAAGTTAATAGATATATAGAAGTTATATGACAATAATGCAATATGGCAGCAATACATTTGGAAATATGGAATTACAATAATAAGGCACAATTACAATATTACATTATGTAATTACGATGACAGTCATACGCATATACGTATGGATATTAGGCCAGTATGTAATCTATAATAAAATAATAACGATACGTATTACGTACGTAGAATTATTTAATCTACCGCTCCTGGTTTTAGAATTTCATGATTTAACTGATATATCGATATTACTAAAAATTCAGGTGCTCGTACGTAATTTTATACATATAGTTGTTGTAACAGTATTATACAAGTCATATATGCATATGTATACGCATGTGTATGTATTTGCATCTTATATGAGTTTCGGAAAACATATACCGTATATGCAGATAAGAGTTTATACGCATACAGATCATTACTTGAGACAACAGTAGTGTATATCAGCTTAGTAATTCCTCTTGAAAGTGGACTGGAAAGCTATTGTTTCCACAAACAATATCATTTTGTGAAGTGTTAATCGTCAGAATACAGTCGGCCCTTGTGTCAATAGGTCGATTTTTTTTTTAATCTGAAAAGTAATGTGATTTTACAAATTTTAAACATGTTATGAAAAAAAAATTTTTTCAAAAATTCAAACCATTAACAATTGTTGTAGATTATTTTTTTTCAAATTAATTCTGTCAAACATAAGTTTGAAGACCTTACTAATGGCTTCGATAGATATATGAGAGCATTAAACTTTTCAAAGATCATTGATATTGATATGAAACAACAAGCAAAAAAGAGATGTTTACTCAATAAATAAAGTTACTAATTATATTAATGAGGTAAATACCATTTAGTGTACTTTAAATCTTGTATAATAATGTTATGAACCCGTTTTTTATTTTTATAGTTTCTTTGATTGATTTTAGAAAGTGTTAATTTTGCTTAAAAATCGCTAAAAAAGTCTGGAAATTTTATTAATTGACAGAGAAGTGCAACAAACAAAAAATTTATACAGTATACCGAAGAATTCACGAGAAATAACAAACCGGAAAGCAAGGGCTTAATCCTGATGATTTTATCACAACCAAAGATTGCAGATTTTGGGCTATCAAACCAGATAAAAAAAAAAGTAACATCTTTAACTTCAAACTCAATTGCTCATGGAATACCGGCATATATAGAATCCAATGTTTCGTTAACACCACCAACTGATTCTCAGACTAGCAAAAAACAAAATGGACCTGCAAAGCATAGTATCTAATTATAAAAATATAGGTAATTTCAGAACACTAAATGCAAATGTGATCTGAAATCCGATGCCTATAAGCCTTGGAATAACTCTTTGAAAATTTCAAGTGGAAGACCACCATTCTCATCCTTTGATTTGGGAATTTCATATTTCCTAAGGAAAAAATGAGAATTAATAGAAGGTACACTATCTCAATATATTGAACTTTACAAAAATTGTTGGGACAACGGTCTTGCTAATCAATTAGAATATAAATCAATTCTCAATACTTTAAAAACCTATTACCAACAAAACATTAACTTAAACCACTTTATTGAAATATCAACTCAAAATACTAAACTTTCCTCAAGTCATCAAACGTATTTTAAATTCAGTTGAATATTTTTGAGAATATGAAAAAGAAAACACGCGAATTTTTTAAGCAAGGCAAATTTCTCGAAGCATTAAAGCTTTATTCTTATCAATAATAATGTTAACTTATAGACTATTGTAGTGTTTTGATTGTATTGACATAACAGATATAATAAGTTATTAGAATTGAATTATCGATATTTTTGTCTGAAAAATATTCTTATCGGTTTAGTTATGAAGCAATTCTCAAGAACAGCCAACATAGTGCTGAAGATCAAAATCTGAAATCTTTCTTGTAATAAGTGTGGGTTGTATAAAATATAAGCGAGTTAACAAAGGTACTTTGTAAGAACATCACGCTAAATTCTTTGGATCTTCAAGAGAATAAACGAGGAAGAAAAAAAAACATTAACAGATATACTTTGCAAGATAATCTTGGATCGAAAGGGGGAAAGCATTAGCAGATGCTCTTTACAATAACAATACTTTTAAAATTTTGAATCTTCAGAGCACTGATATTGGAGGAAAAGCATTAGTAGTTGCACTTTGCAAGAGCAAATCTTGAAAGATTTGAATCTTCAAAGCATTAGCATACACAGCAAGAACACTACATTTATTTCTTTGAATCTCATAATAATTATCTTGGATAGAAGTAGGAAAGGCATTTACAGGTACACTTTGCAAGAACACCAAGCTGACTTCTTTAAATCCTTTAGATAATAATCTTGGAACATTAGGAGGAAAAGTATCAACAATATACTTTATATCACATTGAGTTTTTTTAAATCTTCAATATAATAATAACAACAAAATCAATGATAAAAACATGAAAATATAAAAGTCTCAAAAATAAAAAAGGTGAAATAGTAAAAATAGTAGATACAAGTAGCTCTCGATATGAGAAACCTTCGATATAAGAAACCTTTGATATAAGAAGATTTTGCAAGTCCCAAATATAAAATTTTATAATAAAAACCTCTTGATATAAGAAAATTTGATATAAGACAGGTTTTGACTGGACCTGGAACTTTTCTATATCAAGATTCACTTGTAACAAATAAATAACAAATAAATAATGTCTGAAGTCGAAAGTAAATAAATAAGGTAATAAGAAAGAAACCACTATTGATAGAGACATGTACTGCCTACGCAGAATGTTTCATACATTTTATAATTCACATAATGCTACCTAGCTTGCATAAGGTAACCACCCTAGTATTACCAAGTTGAAAAATATTGCTAATTATATGCTTGTTAATTAAAAGGTTTTTTTTAAACTTTTGAAAATTTTTTATGGTCTTAAAAAAGTACCAACGATGCCAATATTCAAGATCACAAGTCATATGGCAAAACTTTTAAGAATAATTTTTGTTTAATAATGCATATAAATTTAAACTCATGTAACTGTGTTCTTAGTTACTAGCGACTTTAGAACCAATATCATTAATCTGGATGTCCTGGTATTCTACATCAACATCATCAGCATAGATTTTATTATATTGATTTTACTGTATTGATTCACTGAACATGTTATTTTTAAAAACAGCTTTAGCATGCTTAGCTACACTATATCAACTGAATAATGTATAAGTTCTTTAACAATTGTTATTATAACTCTTAATAAATCACATACTTCTGATGCAAACTAACTATTGTGCTTGGAACATTAAGTAAAAATGAATGAATAGTATAAAAGCCCTAATCTCTAATTTAATATTTTGTTTAGAACTTAACGATTACTCAGTATCTGGATTATCTGGTATCTTTAAATATCGGTGTTTGTTGTTTACTTTTTGATTTTTATGGGACATCGTTTTTTTTATCTAACATTAATTATTGTTCTTTTTCGAATAGTTATTTTGTTCTTTATATTGATCTAGACGAATTCTTTATAAAGTTAATTTTTTGGGATCAAATTTTTAAAAAAGAGAGGATTTTAATTTTATTTCATATTAAAAACAACTACCCGGATAATAAATATGTAAGTTATAATTTATTTTTTAATTTAGTAAAAACTGGCCTGACCGGGCTATGAGAACCAAAAATTAAATTACTTGGCCTTATATATTACAATATTTATTATTTAATCTTTAATTTAGAAATCGACAATATTTGTTACTTGGTGTCGGTTTACATTTAGCGAATGTGTAATTGTTACTGTTATTGTCATTTATAATTTATTTGACTTATTGCTATTTTTTCAAACATTAATAGATGGTGTGTGTGAAAAGAGTTTGAAAATATTTATGAAATGGATATCTATTGTTTTTCACTTTATACAGCTTTCTCCTTATTGTACTTTTCAAATTACTATTACCTCGATGATCATCATAAAAGAAATCCAAAGATTTGGTACGTATTTACGCGTAATAACGCAAACGCTTTTTTGAAAATTATATATTTGACTCATAATAACGCGCCTTATACATGATATATTTGCTGTACTGCGTCTGAACCTAATGCATATATAACTAATAATGTATGTTTGTTATACTGAATCTATTCCGTTCGGTATAGAAATGATTCGAAATATCGCGCCCCAAAATAACGCGCAGACGGATGCGCGTTATTACGCGAAATACTGTATAGCGCGTTTGCGAGATTTAAGCAATAGCTTGAAGTGTATCATTTACTATAATTGTTTTGACGTTTCTTATTGCAAATCCTTTTCCATGAAGAAATGGATTAGGCGTTGTTTGTGAGATTGACAATAGAAAGAATTTTATGACCTGCGTTAATACAATATGCTGTACAAAACGAATGCTATTCTTCTATTCTTTTTAGCTATTATGTCCTTTAATGTTACCTCTAGAATAATTATCGAATAAAGTTTGTTTCGTATGCATTCTACATATAAACATTTGCATAAAATAGGCTTAGTGTTTCCAATACCGAGTTATAAAGTGATTTTAAATAGAGAATGCAATAAATGTGAAAACATAAGGCGTCATATAAATAAAAATGACTAGCAATGAGACCTTGTGATCAATTAAAATTGTAATGTAATTCTTATTAAAGTAAATAAAGCAAAAAAGTTTAGTAAAATATACAAGGCAACATGTGAGTTAATGGTCTAAAATTCCGATAGGACGATGTCATGAAAATTAATTAATTGCCCTTATAATCTGAAACTATTAAAAACTTGATATTTTAAATGAGTCTTGCATTGGTACAATTATATATATTTTACAAACTTGTTTAATATTAAACTTATTTTATTTATATAGCTATAAAATTATTTTCAATCTACAAATGATTTATAAAAATAATTTTATACGCAGATGTTACGGCATTCCTGAAATTTTATGATTTTGATGAACTTTGCGCCATGTGGTCAAAAAACAATTGGAATCAAAAACTAAAATATTGCAAGGCTTTCAATTATATTTTATACCGGACACAATTTATTAATTCAGTAGGGAATACGTCCGGTACAAAATATAATTAAAAGCCTGGTATCAGGTTTTCCACGGCACCACAATATGAGACTCAATAAGATTCATTTTAAACAAATTATTCATCGAGATTTTCGTAGTTTTACAAAAGGTTTGCAATAGATATTAGAATAGAAAAACCAACAAAATAAACCAAAGAAATGTATAGAATAATTTTTAGCATATTAGTTTTATATTTTTTTAATGTATTTTTTTAATAATTGTCGGGCTGATGCTGAAATTTGGGGGCTCGATTTAAAACATAAGCTCTGGTAAAATCCACCTATACTCTTTAAATATCAAATCTAACTCTAAACCCTAACCTAACCCTAAAAAAAAAAGACACCCAAAAAAATTTTAAAACTTCATATAAAAATAGATCCAAATTTCAGCATCAGCCAATTTCGGCATCAGCCGCGAAAATAATTCTTTTTTTAAGTTTTTAATAAATTTGTGTTGATTAACTATGTGATAGACGCAACATGGCTAAAACACTGCCAATTAATCAATTACGATATTAATTGACTATTCTGCTAAATATTATAAATTCCTTAACTAGACTAAAAAAAATTAACCTCGCCAAATAGTTTATATTTAATAATATAAATAATTTAGGATTAATTCTACATTGAACTTGAAATTATCTTCTATCAATAGTCTTATAGTGTCTTTCTATTCGTATAAAAAGCCAGTGAGTTGAGTTATATTATTTACATATGATAAACGCAAAAAACATTAATTAAAAAAAAAAAATGTTTACGGTACATTTTAAATCTTTCAAAAAATTAAATTTAGAATAAATTTATCATTCTATGTTCAAGGACAATCTAAATCTAGCTAGTTTCTAGTTTTGCATAATACGTATAATATAGATTCATTCTATTTGTGTGATCATTTTATTATAATTAGCATTAAATGAAATTTACAAATTAATCAATAAGAACATATAGATTCACCTTATAAATGATAATAATTAAGCCTGTCTTCCTCTCGTTTCAATTGGTAATAGTATCATACAAATGCCAGATAATGCGAAAAGGGCTGCGGATAAATAAAGAGGCATAGAGATGTTGAACGAGAGAAGAACTCCTGTTACTATTGGAGCAATTATACCAGCTCTATAACATTAAAAATATAATAATCAAAATAAAATAAGAAATCATTATCTGTTGTAAAAATATCATTATAAAAAATATGAACCGATAACTTACATTCTTCCAAGTGCTGAACTAATTCCGCATGCAGTACCTCTTAGTTTAACTTCAAATACTTCAGGTGTGTACCCATATATTACAGCATAATTAAGAGTCGCCAAAAGACTGACAACTGCTGAAGAAACAACTTCACCGGTACGAGAACGGACAGTAGAGAACATGAATACTGCCAGAGAAGTTCCAAAAGTCGCTATAGCCATACTACCCTTGCGACCTAATATTGTTTCAATAAGGAATGATCCGAATATAGAGCCTGGAATCCCACAAATAGAGTATATCACATAATCTCTTAATACCTCTCGTATTAAAGTTATACCATCAGTATCCTCATCATCACCCAAACCTAGCCATTCTAAATATGTAGGTAAAAAAACATTAAACATAACATAAGCAAAAGCGACAAGTGTCCAAATGGCCCACACAAGAATAGTTGTTTTAATCCATCTTCTACTGAATAGTGGTTTGATCGGATTAAGTTTTAACGAAAACCATTGCATAGGATCAGAAAAAAATCCAACTTGAGATTGAGGAGCATCACTGGTAAATGATTCTGTATAATTGGAATTCGAATTCATAGCTGCAGATTGGATATCACTTTCTTTAATATCTATAGGATTTCCATTTATTTTAGCAATTTTGCGTAAGACAACGACAGCATCGTGTATTTGATCTTGTGAGATAAGAAACTTTGGTGATTCTTGAAGACGGAAAAATATTATACGACAAACAAACATTATGAAAGTCTTATGAAATAAAATTAAAAAAAAAGAACATTATTTAGAATTAATCAATCATTATTAATGACATAAACATAAAATGACGAACTAACCAGTATTCCCAGAATACCTAACATGTATCTCCAACCATTGTTATGTTCATTAACATTACAACTTTTTTTAAATGATTCTACACAACTATTCTGGGGTAAAACCAAATAAGCAAAAATTGAAGTAAGAACGGCACCAAATGAAAAGAAGATGGACAATGAAGTAAGAAGATATTGATGGGATTTTGGTATAAATTCCAGGAATAAGGCACCTAATAATAATAATAAAAAAAAAACAACTAGTTAATCATCACGAAAAAAACCAAGTCATTAAATATACTACCGAAGAAGTTGAAAAAAACCCACCATCAACAGGCATATTTCCACCAACGCTAAATCCCGTAAGAAATAATAGAATGCATAGCTGGACGAAACTTTGCGTAAAGGCCGAGCTGATGCCAAAAAGGGCGGTGAAAAACAAGGTAAGATTAAAGGCCTTTTTACGGCCATAGGTGTCGGAAAGGACACCCCAAAACAAAGCTCCTATCATCATGCCTGTAGACATAGAGCTAGATAATACGCCAATAAACTTTTCATTCACATTATAATGTACTGTTTCGTTGATGAGGAATAATATTATAAGATAAGATGAACTTGTTTAATTTACTTTTATGATATAATGATTTTGAATAAGGTATCATACCTCTGATTCTTGGTAATATGACTACTACACACTAACGTTGGAAGAAAAAATTGGGTATATTAGTTTTTTAAAAGAATATACTGTATAAAATAAATAAATATGAAATACCTGAATCCACATCTAAAAGTTAAAGGCATTGATTGAAAATCATGTTTAACCATTTTTGAGACTATTAAAAAAAGTTGTGAAAATTATTAAAGATTACTCACATTATCAGAAAGCCATCCTAACCCACATAAAAACTAAAAAAATTTATCGTTATGTAATTTTATCGTTACATTTTTTTTTTTTTTTTTTGCAAATATTTATTATTTATAAATAACTTATTTATAAGATTAACGGACCAAAAGTTGTTTTTGAAATTTTCCCATTCCAATTTCGTTAACAATTTTGTCAAGAGCCAATTGCCTCGAAGCTTTTAAACTAGGAAGTTGCGTAGTTTCATCTGAATTTGAGGCAGGGATTTGAAGGCGCACCGTTCTTTTATTATTAGATTCGCTTGACATGTTATGCGTTATTTAATTGTCGTTATGATCAGTTTTTTTTTTCCACAAGCAAATGAAATATATGACTTTTTTTAAATCGAACTCGAACATATATTTGTCACCTTTTAAGGTTACAGATGTTGCAGATTTTCATAAACTGGTGGTCTGCTTAATAATCGACGGATATGGTTACTTCAGCTGATCTGGTGATGGGTCCCTAAATATGACAGCATCTTTGTGTACAATTCTAAATTTTCTATCATTAAAATATTTTTGGTGGTGCGGTGCCCCGGGGCAATCACTAACCATTGCCACATAACGATAACGACGATAATATATGTAATGATATGTCGTTATTCAAATAATTCGGTTCCTTTCCGGGATCTGGTAACACATAAAAAGGTCGTTATTTATATTATTTATATGAACTCAAATTAAAGTTTAATTTTAGAAAGTGTTTAAATGACGCATAAAGTCTCTTTTTTTATTAACATAATCCCTCTCATATATGTGTAACCAAGTAAACCTGTCATCGGAGTTTCAAGTTTACCTAAGGTACCCGAGTGATGCGATTTTTTCACATGTGAAAAATTAAAAATCACGTGTATTACACAATTGTTTAAATCACATGTCACATATAAATAATATTTTAAAAAATCGATCCACATTATTTGTCACAACGAGGTACTTTAGTTAGTGCACTACGGTATTGTTTACCTGTCTGATTGTGTCCGGTAAATACGTATTTAAAACATTTAAAAACCCGATGACAGGTTTTCCCGACGGGGTACCCAAATATATACATTAAGAGATTACGTAACCAAAGTTATTGCGAGTAAATCAACTAGCTTGTGATTGATTGAATTGGAGACCTCTTAAAAGAACTACCAAATAAAATACAAATTTTTTAATTAAAGTTTTACATCAATTTTTTTTGGCCCTGAAAAAAGCCGAATAAGGATTAGTCTTTTAACCGGAGGAACATGGTATCCCTAGACAGGAACTTTTTGTAAAAAGGATCTGTTGAAATTTTTAAGATCTATAGATCACAAGATTCACACGTACCTGTTCCATGGTTGCATAGAAAAATTCTGTGCCAGTTTTGTTGATCATCGACAAAATTAAGAAGCTTCTTTAATCTCAAAATTTTGTTTATGAAACAGCTTTTCATGCTCTAACAAAAAAAAATTTTTATAATTTTGGTAGTAAGTCTTATTCTAAACCTTCTAAGGCTAGCCTTTGGACAAATAAACGTAAATTCTAAAATATTGATTTTATTTAATACATTTATGTTAGTTAATATTTAGATAATATAAATAACAAAAAAAAAATTTCTTTTAAAGCATTTATATATTGTATTTAAAAACTAACTAACCAAAATCAAGTTATAAGGGTAAGACGAGTATTATGGCGCACTTAAGAATTGCCAATAGTAAAAATTTTTGGAAAAAAATTAATTTGTTCACTAAATTTATTATATTATTAAAATAACATTCGATTTACTATCTAATGATAAAGAAAATTAAATGATGTTCCGAACTTCAAAAACTATAAAAATTGTTATGCTTTTTTCAAGTGGGTCGTTTACGGCAATCAATCTTTAATTGGTAAAAAATATTATATTTTAGCTAGTAAGTTTATCATAGCAAAAAAAAAAAGAGATAGTCAAGATCATCTGATTAGCTAAAATTTAACATTTGCATTTCGTATTATAAATTTTCAATAAGGATTACTCAATTATATGTACACGATCTTGATCACTAGCCAATCACATCGAGACAGATATTTGAGAATTTTCTTGGTTAGTTTATTCAACTTCCGACTAATTAAAATTTGCCTCCGTTCCATTGAGTGAAGAACTTGAGCGTGAAATACGGTAGCCCAAATCGAAATTAAATTACAGTTATGAACTAATTAGGTTTACAGGCAATTAAAGTTCCAGAGCTAACTAAATTACAAGGCTAATTAAAAGTTACGATATATTGGGATCATACAGTTCTTGTAAGCGTAACCATAACTGGTCGTTGTTTGGTTGCGCCAAATTTTGTCAATATGTGTCATAATCGCGTGGTGGGAAGAATTTTTATGAAATTAGTAATGGATTTTATCAAGTATTGGAATATTATAATTGTATAATACAATCTATTGATTTATAATAGAACGAAGGATAAAAAATAGAGGGTTACAGTTAAAGGAATAATTCATATAACTCGATCCTCCTAATAATCCTTCCTTAAAGACCAACTATTATTAAACCTGAATCTTTTAATAAAATACATCCTGCACAACTTATATAATGCCCAACGCTAATCTACACTACAAACATATCGCTCAAGGTGTTACATCGTCTCTAGGGATGTTATTAGCTTTACAAAAGTCAGCTTTAGCCATAGATTTAAGCCAAACCTAACAAAGCTAAACTGAACCAACAGCTTGAGCTATACCCCATGCTATGGCATTAATCAAGACCTAAGCCGGAATAAGGATAGCTCTAGTTACAGCTAGTCATTGGCTTCAGTTATAGCTCGAAGCCACTTTTCATAGCTAAAGCTTTGAACATAATGGACATACATATATTATTGTTATATGAATAAAATGATCATATATGGACTTTAATTCTATCATTTACTATTTTTATTATAATTATATATTACACAATTAATCTATCATAGTAATATAATTAACATAAAGTTGGATTATATCTTGCTATTATTTTAAGCCAGCTAAAGCCATAGCTTGAACTATAACTTAATTTTATCTTGCTTAACTATGTCTTGGCTATAATTTATTATTATAATAGCCATAGCTTTAGATTATAGCTGCTAAAACGATGACTTAAGCTTTGGTTATAACTTTATGAACCAAGCCAAGATAATTACATCCCTACTCGTATGTAAAATTCATTGGAACGATTCTACCGAATCACTAGTGAGTACACCACTTTCTAACAGTTAACTCTTTTCTGAACGTTCTAAACTAGCCTTAATGACAAAACTATGATGTGAATTTTTCCACGATTTGATTATTTGTAAAATAAACATGTCAGTGAGTTGATTGTTGGTGAAATGTTGTGGTTAGAAACGCCGAAGTGAGCAGAACCGTGGGGAAAACAGTATAATTACGTTGCATAGATTGAGTCAGAATAAAAATTTCTGCAAATATAGCATAAAGTGAAGCATGAGATGAACTATTTCACTGAAACATGATAAACAATGCTAAAATACTATTGTAATATAGAGAAATTTTTATAAATAGATAAATAACGATTACTAACAAATAATTGATAATTATCGATAAGAGTTATCGGTATGGGCGATTATAAACGATTATTATTATTATTATATCTGATTTAAATCGATAACTGCACAGTTATCGATTTAAATCGATAACGATAATCATAGCGATAGTTTATCTATCGAAATTTAACAGTTAATGATAATAGTTAATCGTTATTTATATATTTATAAAATTTCCTGATGTAGATATAGAGATGGCAAAAAATAGCTCTTCGATTTTTAATGATTTTTAACATGTTTAGAATGGATGGAACTGAAACTACAATATCTGTCGGAATAATTTTAGTTTCAGCAGTGACATTATTTTTTAGGTTCATACGTAAAATAACTCATGTTTTACAAAAACTACGCATCGTTAAGTAACATACGATTATCAGATCAAATGTTTAAAACAAAAAAATAAAAAAATCATTTTCATCCCTGGATAGATATATTAGTATAGTAGTATAGATAGAAATATTTGGTTTGATAATATGTATTGGCTAAAAAAGATAGATTTACGGTATACTTGCGTCCCATACAAGCTCACATTTCGAATGTTGGAGCTTGGGGTATATCTCGCGAGCTTATCTATCAACGATTTTGAAATTTTCACTTGATCTCCTATAAAATGTGACCAGTCATTTTTAGAAGGAGGACCAGTTACTTCTGTAACTAAAAATTCTTCATTGCTATCTTTCAGTGCTAAGATTGTATCTATTTTTTTACCAGGGGATCGATGCTCATTATCCACTTTTTGGGAGTTTTCACTTGCTTTTAAACAGGCCTTCCCATACTTCAAGTACCAATCCTTTTTATTTTTTAGAAACAGTTTGTGAAGTATGGGGCCCAAAACATCTACAATGAATGTCCCTTCTGACATATTTTTGAGAAGCATATTCACATTTTCTATGAAGTCAATCCTACGTTATCATGCGCTAGTTAGCTTATTGCACTTTTTGATGAAATATACACAGAGAGAGGTATTGACTGATTTATTTGTGTAGCACAAATAAATCAAAAGTATAAATTTACATATAGGTTACAAAAAATGATGTGAGTTTTTTTTGAATGTATCATATTTTTTTAATTTTAAGTTTTTATTTTTTTTTAATATCTTGATTAACTATGTTATTAATAAATGATTCTATTTCATTCTCAAAACTTTCTTTAATTACTCCATACTCTATATCCTTACACATTTGCACAATGATGTTATTGTCCAGTGTACCTAAAAATCCTTCATTTTTATTGCTAAAAAATATTATATTGTAATATTCGGGTCGAGTTCTTGTTACACCTGCTGCCTTATATTTTATAAGTTGATAATAGATATCAATGCTATTAACTATCCAAGAGACAGTTTTGTCCCCAAAAATTGTATTAGATTCTTCATAACAGCTCTCATCATCACTTTCAATGGTTATACATAATTTAAAATATTTGTAAGTTACATATATTGATGATAATTTGTTGGAATAGTGCAAGATACTTACACTGTCCTGAATATTTAATTTTATAGAGTTCTGCTGATTTTTTATTAACTCCACATATTTATCTTTGTCCTCATTAAAACTTTTGAGTAAACTTCTCGCCATATCTTTATCATTGCTGTTAAATTTTGGGGTATTGCAAATGTTTTGCAGACTCTCTTTGTAATGGTAGAAACAGTTTTGTTTGGAAAATATAGGTTTGTGTTCATTGTAAGTTTCGATGAAGGAACTAAGTTCCCACTCATCAGAAGAAGTTGAGAAAAAATATGAGTTAATGAAGCCTTTCATTTTTCATAGAAGTATATGTATAATTCTTATTTGATATGAGAAAACTCTAGACAAATACAACACAAAATCTTAAGACATGAAAATTCTTGTTGATACACATGATTCCAGATTATATACAGAATATAGTTAAATGTATTGCATAGTTTAAAATTTTTTTTTGAAACAAAAAAAGCTTTTATATAATCTACACTAAGCCATACCTTATTAAAAAAACAAAATAATAATAATAATGTTTTCCTGTAAATCACATGTAATATTGTCTATGCATATTTATTTCAATTTTTGTTATATCTCAATCTACAAATTAGAAGAATAGCTTATATTCATTCATTCCTGGTTTAGCACAACAATGTCACGCAGCTACTTATTAGTTAATTAGTTAATAATATAAAAGTTATCTATTAATTAATATTTTAAATAAATATAATTCACTGTAAATTTATTAATTAGTATTTCTTAAATAAGCTACTTAAATTAAAGAACATTACTACCGGTATATATTAAAGTAGATTTTTAAATTTACTATTATATAATGCATCTAATACTATTATAAATAATATTTATTTAATTTGTCGGGTAAGCATAATTAAAAAGAAAGAAAATTAAATAGTAAGTAACTAGAAAAATTATAGGTTAAATAATTGATAAAAGATTAATATAAAAGATGCTATATATATACTGTTAGTTCTTAACTTTTTCATTAACATAATAAATATAATAAAAAAGGTACAGTAAAATAATTACATATAAGGGCCTATTTTAGAAAATTTTACTATATCTCATGATACAATGAACGAAATTTAATGATTTTGATACCATTCAAATCGGCTCGTCAAAATGGATCGAATGGTACTGAAATTGCTAAAATTAAATTACCGGATAACGATATATCATGATTTAAACAGATTTTAGAAAATATTGAATAGCTCGTAATCCAGTAATTTAAAATTAGCAATTTTAGTACCATCCGATCTGTCTTGATGAGACGATTCGAATGATATAAAAATCATTAAATTTTGTTCATTGTATCATGAGATATGGTAAAGTTTTCTAAAATAGAGCCCTTATATGTAATTGTTTTACTTTTTTGGGTCTTTATTTGTAAATTTCCCTAAAAGTAATATTATTAGATTTTGGGTTTATTTTTTTTTTATTTTTTTTTTTAGTGAGCATAGGTGAAAGCACTATTAGCAATTTGAGAACACTCATAGCCATTATACGAGTCTGAAATTTCGATCACTGGTTTCAATAGTAAAATTCTTGGTGATTTTGAGCAAATCGATCGATTCCAGCCCATCCAACCAGGTTTTCAATGCATCCGACCCGGAATTTTGGAGATCTCCCTGTATGTAGTAAAGTAGCATCCCTCGGTGTGGGAGTTTGGAGCTGAGATCCTTTGACCAAGTTAATTTAATAGTGTCTAAAATATCCATTCGATTATCAAACCCACCAAGAGTTGAATTTCCTGTCTCAGCACTATATGATCCACTGAAAATGTACATTTTACCCGTAACATCAGTGACTGAATAAGTTTAGATGTCTGCATTCCTTGTGTAGTAGGAGTATTCCACACATTTTTTACAATATCAAACGTGTAAACTAAAGGAATGCCGTAGCTAGAATTCTCAAATGCACCACCAATTAAGAAAACGATGTCATTGTTTGGACCGCTGGCAGATACTGCTGCTCTGCAGAGACATCTAGATAAAGGAAATCATCTTGTATGTGTGAAAATTGAATATTAGTATTATTAGTATCACTGCACTGCCTAATATATAAACTTTTTTGCCAATTAATATGGCACCATGTGAATAACGACTAAAACATATGAAAATTGAAAATTTAGCAATAAGATGCAAATGCAACTAAGAAGCTTTATTTTTTTTGAAAAGATCGATGAAAGGATATTGTGGCAGGGGTGACGGGTATAATGCTCCCACAAAAACATTAATCAGTGAATTTCCCCCTAACGTGACTTAAACCTAATCTAAAATAACCCTAACCCCTAACCTTAACATCCCAATTGGATAAAAATCACGAGGGGGGTAAAATTTTTTGTGGGTGAGTTACGACACTTTAATCAACGCATCAAATCATGTGAACAAATAAATCTAATCTACGTCTGGAATTTTTTGATTGGTCAAATTTTGTGAATATACAATAGTCGCGCTTGAGACGGATCTAGAACTAATATATATATATATAGTGGACTACGTGGGATCTATCGTATGGCACTTTATGGTAAACAGCAAAAGATAATAAGTATATTTGAAATTGAACATTCTTGCGAGTATTGGGCAGTTCGTTCTAAGCCCGCTTCTTGCGGAGACAGGTTATGTCTTGCGACGAACAACTGCAATGGTTAGATCTTGCAAAATTATTAGCATTGTTAGAACTATTTAGAATGATTATTAAAATCTTTAAATCTATTGTTCATAGCATATGGACCAAATACCTTCAGAAACGACTAATCGGTTCATACGAAGAGAGGTTGTTATGTCGCGTTATATAATAATACTTGAAACGGACGGGTGCAATAGTATTCTAGAACTAATTTTTTTTTTTCTTCTTTAATAGTGACTATACTGTCAACTGTCTGTATTACATACCTTTAAAGATAAGTGTATTATTTCGAAATTGAACATTCTTGAGAGCGGTAACGGTTAGGTCTTGCGACGGACTGTGCAAAATTTAGGGCAGTTTGTTCTAATCCCAGCGCAGATGTGGGTTAGGTCTTGCGACGAACAACTGCCCGAATGCACTTGTCCTAAGCCGTTTTCTTGTGATTACGGTTAGGTCTTGCGACGGACAGTGCAAAATTTAGGGCAGTTCGTTCTAATCCCAGCGCAGAGGTGGGTTAGGTCTTGCGACGAACAACTGCCCGAATGCACTTGTCCTAAGCCGTTTTCTTGTATTACGGTTAGGTCTTGCGACGGACAGTGTAAAAATTAGATATCCTTTAAAATGAATTGATCAGGATAATTGGTTTAATTTATAGAATGAATATGATGATAGTTTTGCTTTAGCAAAAATACTGATCATTCTTATAATTTTAATACTGAGGGTGAGAGTAGGCTGGTCTTTGCTTTAGCTAAGATGGGATACGTTCTCAAAAGCAGTCGAATTAGATCGTGTTTATTGGGTACGTCCTGATAAATATGTATCTGATCATCCGTACCTAATCAAAATAAAATTTTGAGGTATCTCATTCAATAATGGTATAAGGTAATCGATTAGATCCTTTGGGTGGAAGTAGACTAACCTTTGTTCTAGTGAAGGTATTATAGGTTCGAAATTGATCATAGATATTAGGTACGCCCTAATAAATATGCGTCAGATCATCCTTATGATTTTAATTTGAGGATGAAAGTAGAATAGCCTTTGCTTTAAATAAGGTGGGGTACGTCCTAATGTATATATCTGATCATCCATACTTTGATTGAATGTAATTCTATAATTTGGCTTAGTTTATGAATGAAATGATGATAGTTTTGCTTTAGCAAAAATACTGATCATTCTTATAACTTTAAACCTGAGGGTGAGAGTAGGCTGGTCTTTGCTTTAGCTAAGATGGGATACGTTCTCAAAAGCAGTTGAATTAGATCATGTTTATTAGGTACGTCCTGATAAATATGTATCTGATCATCCTTACCTAATCAAATAGAGGTAATTTATAAATATTCAATAATGGGATAGCATGAGAGAAATTCATTTAATTAAAGATCGACGATGATTGATAGTTGGCCAATATCGTTATTGTCCGAAGCGTAGCCGAGGACACTATTCTAGACATTAGGTTACACAAGACGTCTGTCACGCCGCGTAATTAACATAACATGACGCGTAATGTGCTAAAAACAACAAACAAATTTATAATTATTAAATTTTATTTTATAATTTTTATTTTTCAACATTATACGTATTAAGATTTGAAAAAGAATTTCATAATTGGACAAACGACAATCACGACATTGATCAATTGATTCAACACTCAATTTAATGCATACCTTTTAGCAAATTCGCAAATATAAAATATCTTGCTAAAGGAGGTTTTTGCATTATTTTTAAGCAGTATGGATTGACGGATATATTACATAACTTGACGGGGAGAAGCCGTAAACAAATGTTTGTTTAAAAAATCTTGATAATTCTAAAGATAAATTTTTATAAGTACATACGGATCTTAGTTAGAGTGTAGTAATCTTATTTATCCTAATTAATATTGTAGGTTGAAAATCAACACAAACATACATAGGGACAACACGGCAATTGCGATTTATGGATCCCAAAAGATGATAACTACATGATAGTTATGAAGCATGTGAAGCAGGGATGTCTTCGAAAATTGTTAGCAAATATCTAAATTAGCAATCTATATCATATAACCGATGAGTTTAAGACAATTCATAAAGCCAAATTAGTACATTCTGGAAACAGCTAATCGTCGAAATATGTTTAGTTCTTACATTATTGATTTTAGTTTATGTAAGCCGGTGTCACAAGCCCACACGATATTTATTCTTTCGGAATAATTATATCAGAAGTTTTTACAGGATATCCTCCATATCATGATATTCCACACAACGAAGATCTAGCTACACGTATTTGTCCCCAAAATTAGATGCGAAGCTCCTCAATTACTTTTGGATCTGATAAAATAAATGCTTAGACGCAGAACCTCAAAACCGACCAACTGCTAGAGAATTAGCTAATGCGTTGAATCGTTTTTTTTTTGAAGATTTAAAAGATGAAAAAACTAAGGTGATATCACCTATATGGATATATCAGATCGAAAGATTACCGGTTATATAGTTTTTTGTTTATTTTTATTATTTTTTTATTGTGCGGGTTTCATTTGGCATTGTAATAACCTTTCTGTTTATTTTTCTTCAGGCTATAGACGACATCTTTAAGGGTTGGTTGGGATCAGTATTCGAGTTGAGTTAGTATTCAGGTTAGGGTTATCATTCGAGTTGAGGTTGGCATTTGGTTTAGTTGTG